CATTGTAGAGTTTACCTGAGTCTGAGCATCCATTTCAGCCACAATTAGAGTGTCCCTTCTTGTGTGTACCTGTTGCATGGCTATGTCACTSTGCCCTCATTCTGGGACAGCATGGACCTTTATAATTTTTGTGGCCACATCCTTTGATATTTAGTGTCGCATGGTGAATTGTTCCAGGAGTCCACATTGCAAATTGTTGTGGGAGCAACTTCTCTGCTCTTTCTGTCCCTTTCTGTTCCCATCAGCAAACTGAAGCATTCCTGCTGGCGCAGGCATGAGAACTCGTTAGTAGTATTTACAATAAACCAATTAATGAGTTTTATTATATAGCAGGTGTGCTAATTAACATCATTCTGTGCTAATGCCCATCCTCAAATGTTCATCTCATTTGCTTTTAGGTGTGTTTTGCCATGAAGAGAACCCATTGCTGTTCAGTCTTCAGCTCTCTCACACTTGCGTTTGTGTTCTTAATTCAAAAGGATGGCCAAAACTTTCCTGTGTGTTCCAAAGCTGGATTATTCCTAAGCTTTTGCACATGCCTGACTGAAGGTATTCCTTTTTAGAGGACACAGAAGCAGTGGTGATGTGCACTTTGTTCTCTTACACCTCCCTGCCCTCCCCAACACCTCCCAGGGTGGAGGGAGGCAGGCTGTGCGCTGTTCAGTGTTCTGTTTGTAGCACAGGTCTGTGTGTGGTGTTCCCTTATTTAACACATCCTTTTGTCCACCTAGGAATAGCTACACCTCACTTAATTAGTTTATCAAGACAGACTGTGCSTTATTATTTATAATCTGAGCTGCTTTGGGAAAATAATGTGGCAGCATTGTCAATGAAATGAATAAAAATTTGAACATTACACTCACATATATACAGGCGTGTGAGACACAGGCTTTCCCCATGCTCCTTGTCTTCAGATACCACTAATTTTCTGTTGTTTTGACAGTGTACAAAATAGCRTGCCCTGGAGACAACAGGGCAGTGTGGTTAATTCCTGCTCCTAGACAGCCCCTTGGAATCTGTTTTTGTTTGGAATATGGGAAGRAATGAAGCTGTGGGAAATGGTGTTTCTGTCACTGAAGGTTAAAGAAAGAACTTTGCAGACTGTCATGTAGGCTAATACAAGCATTGTATAAATCCAGAGTATGAGATGACATTCACCAATATACTGTAATATTCCCCAGCTGCAAAAATAAACAATTCAGTTTCAATGCCATTTCCCAATTTTTGGGCTCATCCTTGGCTCRTTTCCCAAACATCTCTCTGAACTCTGAGCTGGAGATGTCTTTCATTCCCACTGCCCATGTTGTTTGTTCTAGCTACTGGATCTTTTTTAGTTCTGGGAGATGCTGCATCATCCTGTTTCTCTGCCAGATGAATTCCTTTTGGCTCCAGTGGGCTTGTGCTTGGAGCAGAGTGCTRAGTGCCCGGTCAGAAGTGTTATAGTTTCASRGAAGGTAGWTGAAGAATTTCCAGGCTATTTCTATTCTGGGGTTTTGTTTGTTTCCTTTCTTCTTACTGTTATATAGTAAATGGGTTTTTTTAGTTTTTCTTTCTGTACTCTCTTCCTATATAGAGGTAACATTTTCAAAAAATCCTCCATGATCCCATGAGGAAACAGCAACCTGTCTTTCCCTTCTTTACCTGGGCACACACACACACACAGAGAAGGACAAAGAGCAAAGAGAACAGTGAAATATCAGGAGAGGATTTGTTTCTTCTGCTATCTTAACTATTTTCTTTGTTGATATTAAAGCATAAATTATTCCTGAAGCAGTTCTTCCTTAAACATTCRTTGTACGCTGATAGGCTCAGCAGAGGTGGGATCACCAGGGGAATGGATGACTCAGGCTTTTACACACTGAGTCAACAGTCACAATGAGTAGATTCATATACTTTTGGCATGTAAGTACAAGCTGCCGCTTCATTTCACTGAGTTCTGTTGATGAATTTTCCAGAATGAATTCGGGCATGGTGGAGTGTTGAGCAGTGACATGACCTGGGGTGTGCAGGGTTGTGGTGGGAAGTGTGTTGTTGTTGTTGTTACCTGCTCTCTCACAGCTCTGTGTTTGCAGTTAAAGAAACAGCCTCAGAATGCCTTTCATGCTCATGTTTTCATCAATTTCTGCTTGAGCAGTGTGCCAATAATGCCCTACACATATGGTTAGATATATATAACCATATAGCTGGTCTTCTGCTGTCATAACCCTGTCATGTTTCACTTTGGCCACTTTGTTTCTTTGAAGACCTGAGGTTTTTGGAGATACTGACAGTAAAATCAGTTCAAAGGGTAATAATGCAGCATGGGGATCTGAAGCTTGCCAGACTGTGAACAGGATATAACAAGCTTTTATTCTTTGGTATCAGCTTAAAGTAGTCCTTTTGTTTCATTAAACTTTTCATTTGGGCTGTTTTGAAGGGAAGTGATGCACTGTGACTCAAACTGACAAATTCTGTGTTCTTTACTGGGGCAACTTTATTGAACATCCTCTCTGACTGAAAGGCAAGTTGTGAACAGCAGTAGCCCAGWGTCACAATAGAGATAAATAACACTGTCATCAAAGTAAATGCAGGTTTCATTTAATTTCATTTATCCTTCTGCACCATTGTCTCCCAAAGAGTTCTGATGCTTTGTGCTGWTCCTCCCTACTGGAGATATGCAGATGAGTTATTTTCCTGTCAACTCTATCCAATGAAATGCAAGATCATGCTGCTAAGCCACCTTTTTACAGGAAAAATGATCTAATACGGGATTGCTGTACTGTCACAAAAATGAATTGTCTCCTATGCTCAGATAGCACCAAGGTGGTGACCACTTAGTGCAAATCTTCTTCCTATTGTTAAAGGTTTCTCAATAGGATAAAAGCCTGTGCTCTTGCCAGCTAAAAGACTTTGTCACATCTTGATAATATATTTGAGACAATCCACAAGTAGATCAAACTATTATTTGTGGGGGTTTTGCCTCCATTCATCATGCGTTAGTACTTTTTGCAAGAGTTCAGCTGTAAGGTCCCTGTCAGTCACAGGCAGTGGGGTTTTTTTTTTTCAGATCTAAATTAATTTTCCAAAGTGTCTGTGTCCCTTTGTTTTTTCTCTTTTTTTGTTGTATTCAATTGAACTGTGAGTTGGCTAACCTTCCTTTGTGGTGGGTGTGAAAAATTTGACTGTCTCTCTGTTACAGTTTCTGATAGTGAACAGGAGCTCTGTTGCCATTCCTCTGAAACTGCTACATTCTAAAAAATGATTATAGGATGCAATATATAAGGGTTGTATAGTGGCATGAGATCAGGTTTTGTGGGGGGAAATGGTTGTATTTGGAAATCTCAGTGATCTGGTACTAATTCTATGATCAGCTTTAGAGAGACCAAAGTCAAATGGGTTGGTGTCTGCCCAACCTTTTGTGCTTTGGCAACTGCTTTTCAGTAAGTCTACTCATGTAACGTTCCAGGTGATGTCAAATAGTGCTAATATTCAGTAATTTTAATAATGTGGTGAGTCTTTGCACCAAGAGCTTCCTGGCAACTTGATGTTTGAGCCTTGTGCTGTTACATCAGCTATTTCATAAAGACTTCATTATGCACAAACTTTTATGCCTATTCCACTTTTCTCACCAAATTCTAATAGGGTCCGTTTGAGATTGTGTACCAGGAGATTTCATTGGCAATTTGGACTAATGCAAAAACTTTAATCTCTGAAGGTTAGATTTAACCTCCTYCCTGTCCCTTTTAACTGTAATAAAAGAGTGCTGAAAAACCTTCAGTCGGTTTTCCTTTTATTTACAACAGGAGCAGGTTCAAACCCAAAGGAAAAAAAAGGTATAAAACAAGCTGAGTTGGCCTTTTGTATGTATCAGAGATTTTCTAGAYTTGGCTTCTCCTCAGACCGAGTTTGCTTGCTGTGAGGATAAGCTGAGTCACCTTTTAAAAAGCTAAAGGTCAGCCACACTTGAGGAAGCCCCTGGTAGGCAGTGGCTCATAGAAAATACCCTCAGCTCTTTCTTGACAATTACCCTGTATGAAACMGTAGAATTTTCTTTGCTTCCCTCAGGTTTCTGAGGTCCCAGGGTAGTTTCTTACCCTGCAGAAAGCACTGGATAGATCCCACCGCAGTGTTCACTGTTGTATATTCCTTAGGGAAAAGAAGAAGGTGGATGGGTTTTACTTTGGAGCCAATGCATGCCCCATTAATTTGTGTCCCTTCTGCAGAGCAYCTAATGATGCATTTATTTATTTCCTCCTCCTTTTTCTTTGGTGTTTTCATCCTTTCTGTTCAAAGGCATGAGGTGGGTTAGCATAAAGAATGAACTCAGTCACCTGCACGACTCTGAGCCCAGGATAAAAATGAATTATTAAACCTGAACTGAATTTTTCTGTTAGGTGGACTGAGTTTTAATAATGATAATATGTAGGCAGAATGCAATTCTCATTTAAATACCAGTCACTGACAAAAGAATTGTTTATGTTGCTGTCTGCTTTCACGTGTGTGGATTTATACCTGACAATGAGATCTGCTAGGAAGTTCACAAGGAGTGACAAACTTTATAAACAACCTAACCACTGATAGCAATTAGCTGGTTTAGAACGTGTTTGGAACGGTTGTGTAACTGGAAAAATCGTCAGACAAGAGAGGATCCAATAAGGCTTCTAAGAGAGATTTTGTGGGCAAATTAAATGAGTGCTTACGTAAAATTAAGTGCTACAGCAGCGTGTGTAAATGTGCCCGTATGCGCACGCACGCTCGTGGACTGGACCTGRCGAGCCTCTGGCAGGGAGCTTTGCAGAAGCTGCAAGTATTTTTAGTGGAAAYGAGATCTCAGCTCAGTTCTGCAGCATGTGACTTCCTATTTCTGTAGGTTACTTCCAAGGGACTTCCTCTGTTAAATCRACTTGTCTCTGGAGATTTAATCTGGAGCCGGAGTGTGGTCTGCTTTGTCCTGTGCCTGTGACAGCATTTTCCTGGAGTTTGCTTCTGCGTATTTCATTTTTATTTTCTACTGTCTCCAGCATGCAAGGATCTAGTGGCTGCTACCCGTGATCGGAAGCTGAACACGTTTATCCAAGTCTCAGTGGTGCATCCAGCAGAGCACATTTTGACACGGTATTCAAGCACTGAAATCGTGGAGGTGAGAGTCTCTCTTATTCAATTAACATGTTGATTAATGAATCGCTCATTTCTTCCTTAGAAAGTGAATGAGGAATAAAACAAGTTAGTGCACGGTCTTAAGTAAGAMAAGGGCACTCTGGCAGTTAGTAAAGCATACCTAAGTGTGCTGTAGTTCTTGGCATTTAACCAGGACAAACAGAAATTAACTTGGCTTTTCATGAAAGCCCTGTTGTTCCAAGTAGAGGCATGGAGAATATTCCAGTTCTCCAGACACAGGTTTAGAACRAAATAGAGAATAGTTGCTCTCATGAAGGGACAAGGCAATGCAAARTAAAACTAAATTAAGGGTACAGGGAGTTTGGAAAGTATTTTTAAATTGCAGAAAAACATAGGTGTATTATGTGGTCTTATTCTATTTGTTTCTTGTTCTATTTTTTCCCATTGGAGATTTAATGCTTTTGCAATTTGAAAAGCATTACCTTACTGCTATAATTTGGGAAAAGAATCTGTGTATGTAATGTCTGTGACTTTATATAAAATAATCAGTAGCTTGCATCATACATTGCAAGAAAAGTTGTCTGAAGCTGCTTTGCTAGTCCTCACTTTGCCCTGTAAGCATCAGTGTCAGAAACAGCAAAAATGGTTCAGAGAAAATGAAGGGTGAGCAATGTAGGTGTAACTTGCTCAACTCAGTGGAGAGACTCATTAAGAGCAGGGAAGTCTCATTGTAAACACACACATGATTTCRCCAGAGGGTTGTTTTAACTGTTAAATACAATGAAAATATTTCATGAGCTCTTTGTGTGATTACTCTCAACCAGCATACTAATTAAATTATTATGGTTTCAGCCCTCAACCATCCTGAAACTGCTTWATTCAAATATCTTGTGTCTGATCAGGATGTTTCATTGCAGACTGTCTGGAATGATGTCGTGCAAAAGATGAATAGATAACTTTATTTTTTTTTTTGGTAGAAGTTGATGCATTTCTTAACACAATGTGCTAGACTTCAATAAATTCCTGAATTTGTTTTGTCAAGGCTCTCAGCTTTGTAGTTAAGCTTTGGTGGAGGAGAAGGCAGGGTCACAGAAAGTTATTTCTTTAAGATAGATAAATTGCCTTTATCACCCGCAATCCTTTTTTTTTTTTTTTTTCTTAATAGAAAATTTAAAGATCTGTGCCCAGCAATCTTTGGAAATTAAGTATAATTAAAAACTAAGAAATTATAAAACAACATTTTGTACGATTCATTTAATTATATATCTTTAGCTATGGTATAGTTACTTCTGTGTACAGCTTTTGGGYATAATCATAATGTTTCAAAGCACAGGAATGTTTTTTATTGCTCTACTACCTAAAGATGAGTATTTCAATCTTCCCCCCCCCCCCACAAATCAGTATCCTTAACATAATACTGAGAGTCTCTGTAGCATTTCTATGCACTTATTATTGTGKCTTAATGAAGATTGCTCTATTTTGTATGTATGTGCAAGTTAAATCTCTGGTTTGTTTAAATTAAGATGAAATTGTGGTAATTTCAGAAAGTTGTAGGAGTAAGAAAGGGTTTGGTTATTACAGGTTGTATTCCAAAGCCTGATACTGGCTGAGCTGTTAAAAATGTGTTGCTAGGTTCTGCTTCAGAAGCACTTCACATCCTTCCCAGTTAAAAAAAAAACTTTCCAGGAAGTTGTTGTGGTTTTGTTTGGTTTTTGCTTGTTTGTTTTCAGTTTTCCTGATAAAGTTTTAAAGCAGTTTGTTTTTCTTATTGATTGGGTAATAGCACTGAGCTGTTCCCATCTCTCTGCTATAGACAGCTGACACCTTTTAGGTTTCTGTGCTTTGATACTGACATCCTACACATTGCACAGCTGTTATCTTACTGAATGTTTACTTGTATTACACAGGGTACAAAAGATCCACTGTTTTTGACTGGTGTGACATTCCCACCGGAATATCCCATCTATGAGGAAACTAAAATAAAACTAACAGTCTATGATGTCAAAGATAAATCCCAGGACACGGTAAGTGCCTTGCTTCATTTCTTGCATAGATCTTAATAAGGAACAAGTTTCTCGCCGTGTTGTTCTTTGGCTCTCTTTAGCAAATTGGGGCGATAGGTTGAGGTAAGGTTGGTTTTGTCGTGCCTTAAGTCCACTTTCTCTGTTGTTGTTATGTGAGAGATTAGAGAAAGAGAGCCCTGCACTTGAGATGGGTACTTTGATAATGGCTTTTTAATTGGTTATATGAATCGGCACAGATATTCCTGGCAAATAAAGGATTGCTCTGGTGTGCATTTTGAGGGTGGAGAGCACATGGAATAGACTGAGATAATACCATTGGGAATAATTTTTGAGAAATATATTTCTGATAATGTTTTATTTTTAATATTTTAATATTAACATTATTTTATAATGTTGTTGTGCACTTATGTGCACAAACCAAAATGACAGCAGAGCCTTTAATTTGGGAGAGAGCTAATCACCTTTTATTTTAATCTCTTGTGTGGTGATACTTGTGTTCAGCTTTTCTGTCACTGCTTCTGTTATTGATTTGTAAGAGTCCAAGCYCTACAGAGTCACTTCTAAAGGTGAATCATTTGGGGTTCTGGTGTTCTACATTCTTGGATACAGAGTCAGCTTTTTATTCTTGGAAAGTTACTCATTTGTGCTGATAGATGGAGGTCAGTGGGACATTCTGAGTGTTTAAACTGCCAAATACAGAGCTTGAGTGCTGTTTTATGTGCTCCAGGTGATCTAAGACAGCCTTACAGAGCTAGATGTCATCACAGGACCTATGGGAGATGTGTGTTTTTCTTCTGTGGCAGCTGGAGTCCAGCTGATAGTTTCCTCTTGGGCATCAAAAATGGCCCTTGACACCTGTACTAAATTAGCTGAATTGTCTTTACATATCTGTAGTTGGCACTCAGCATGATTAAAGCAAGTGCAARCTTATGTCCTGACTGTATATGTGTTCATTATCCATAAGAAGGAAATTAAAGGCATAATTTAAAACTTGAGACTGTCTTTGAACTGCTTGCAAAAGTAAAGTTCTGTGTTTAGAGAGCTCGTAATTTTTTTCTGGTAGAAAAWTATTGWTGTGTTTGTTTACATTTTCGACCCTTGTGGGCCAACAGGTCGGTTCTGTGCCCACACTGTGCTCTTTCACGGGAATGTGTGGAATATTTTAGGCATAGAACCTGGATTTATTCTCTGTTTAAGAGTAACCAAGGAAGGAGCATGTATGTGCAGTTTTGTAATGTCTATATTTTAATTTTTGGTTATGGATTAGACAACAGGGTGTTAAAATGGGATCTGCTGTGTATTCAGCAGTTGTCACCTGTGGACAGGTAACAGGCATTGAGGGAATGGAGTTGGACTTTGCCTTCCCTTCCAGTTTCATTCTGACTGACACATGATGGAAAATAATATCGTCTCTGTAAGTGATAGGAGTGGAATGGTTTCAGAGCACTCTTCCCTGTACCTTTTCTAGCTGCAGGCTTCTCTACTGCCACTTATGCAGGAGAAGATCCAGCTTAGAGAATGAATGTAATTTGATAAGCTCTTTGAAAACCTGTAAAAAACTGCAGTTACTTTCTGTAACTGTTCCTTACAACTGTAAGGACACGAGTCTCTCCCAGGGCATCCCACTGACGTAGCTCAAAAATCCTAAGAGACAATACCTTTTTCTTTTGTAACAGCATTTATGTTGTTCCTATGCAAAACATTCTAGATCTGTACTCAGGAATATCTTTTTGTAGGGGAAAATATTAATAACATCTCTGGTTTACATACATTTAATGTTTTTTATTACTCAGCCATTCTAAAGCTGAATGTAGGTAAGAGAATATTAAATAGAATGTAAGATTTAAATCAAGGTGGACTGAGCATATGTGAATGACCCCACGCTACCCTGACTGTAGCTTCATTAATGGCAATATTTGGACCTCTGTTTGCATGCTAGAATGTCAGTGACAATAAATCAAATGTCTTGCCTTTCTTATAATTAGAAGCCATCACACTTTCTATTAGTTGAGGTGAAATTTTTTGAGTCTGGATGTTTATGTAGATTCATAAAAGTCATATTTAAATGAGTTMTAATTTGATACCATTACCAGCATAGCTACAACAGCACAGTCATCCATGCTTGGGATGTGTCCCTGTGGCAGCAGAGCTGCTCCAGGTGCTGTGGTGTCATAGTTCTGATTCTCCAGTCTACAGTAAAGACCTGTCTACAGTAAAGCTGCCTTTCTTGTTCCTCAAAAACTGCTGCCACAGCTTATGGCTGCCAAAAGTAGTCCCACCATTCCTCCAAACACACAGGGAATCCAGCTGGGAATGGAGGGCAATCCAGGCCTGCTGGGGATGCCCTGCTCTGCAAGGCTGAACTTCCTGGGCTATTATAGGACCACCAGCTCATATAATTGGGCATTTATAGCAGAAATAAACCTTGGGTTTGACTGTGAGAGATTTTACAGAAATTGTGCCACAATAATAATTCCCACAACATCAGGGCTGTACTACTGCTGGCTTCAGCTAATAAGCTCAAAGTAGCTAATATCACAAATATATACTTTTACTTTTCTTCTTTTTCTTGTCATTAAAACACAACTGTAAGGAGTRAATTCTGCACATTAGTTAAACTCAGCAGGATTTTTCTGCCACAATAGAAGGTTGTAGAGAAGGTGGGGAAATGGCAGTGAGTACATCACAGGGTAAAGCGTTTTCTTGGGTTTTGCCTAAACCTTACTCCGTCTGTACAAGAGAATTTGGTCTCATTTTCAAACTGCTGGATTTTTACTGTAATACAAAAATGACTAAATACTGCGTGGTTTGTGCACACAGGGTTCACAGGTCATAATTTTAAAGTGAAAAAGGATGCTCCTCATGGAGAAATAACCTGAATTTACTTTTGGCACTGCTCTTTYAAAAAAGACTTGAAAATAACCTTTCAATGCTGGTATTTCTGTAGCAGARAGCAGATAGTTACTTCACTCTTGCCTGTCATTTAGCTTACATTATGTAAGAAGTGTGGTTTAATTATATTGAAATACTGTGCAGCTGGGATCACATTCACTGTGCTTGACACACTGAATGTTCTGGCTGCACTTTTCRCTTTTTATGCATCTCTGTCTGGTGTTGATCATAATTATATCTTGCCTGTGTCAGACTTTCTGTAATTGAGGCTTTTAAATATAATGATACAGGGTGTTTTTTTGTTTTGCCTAGTCTTTCTAAGTGATTGGTTACTGTAAGTTTTTATGTAAATAGAAACTTTTAAGAAAGACAGTGGTATTCCTAGTTTACTTTGGCATACTTAGAATAAAGTGGCTGGAGTGTTCATGAAACATCATTTAATTATATCCATGCATACAAAGTGGTGGGTAATGCCATCCTATGAAAAATGTATGGTGACATCTGTTTCTTCATCACAAAGGTTTTTCTTCCCATATTGCCATGAGCAAATTTATGTTTCCCTGGCTTGAGCTACACTGTGTTTAGGATTTTACAAATTTTGGCTTTGTTGTATTACTGTGCCTGTTCTGTAAGTCATTGTCCAAWAAGATCAGAATTATTGGCTCATAAGCTGTTCAGAAATTACCTCTGTCCACTTTTGCACAAGCACACTTGTTCTTACCTTTCTTGTAGGCACACAGCTAAGCCTGCTTTGGTTTAGCAAGTTTTAGAGCTGAAGCCAGGTTCATTCTCTGTGAAAATACTGCTTGGCACAAGTCAGGTCCCACTGCCGCATGGCAGACCCACAGAAAACATACAACTGATGGATTTGTTACCTTAAGAGCAGCCTAGTGGCTAATCTGGGAGCCAGCAGTGTTTGCTTTGTGTTTGGAATCTGTGTGCCCTACAGCAAGAGTTCTGAACTTCCTATGCAGTGAGTTGAGCCACCTCCTTTTGGTGCACACACAGGCAAGTGCTGGGAGCAGAGGGCAGGAACAGCTTTCTGTACCTRGTGAGAACTTTCTGTATCTTATCTTCACATCACCCCTTCAAAGATAATCTCCTTTCGATGGATATCACTACTGGAATTCAKGTGTGATACTGAAAGCTACAAACAGACACTCTAATGTTATCTCCTGAGAGCAAGGGGAAACTGGATGTATAAAAAGCAGTTGAAATATTACACATTCAACAGTTTGGTCTTCCTTCTTTTACTCCCCAAATTTCAGCTTAATCACTGAGAATAAAATTAGATTAATTTGATAATTTTAGAAGTAGTGGGCCTAGAAGGTCAATTTTGGTACTGGAACATATGTTGTTAAATGGCAATTTTAGATTACTTARGCTTTAAATTACCATTGAGGTTTCAATCTTCTATTAAGCTTGCTCACTAGATTGTCAGTATTTCTCAGTATYTTTTAGAAGTCTTGGATACATGAAGGGAAATTCAAACTGCTGACTTTCCTGTGGCTTTATACGGATACAAAACCTTTCTTTGAAGTAGCTGAGGGTACAAAAAGCTTTCATATATCTTAGTGTATCTCTAAGAGAATTGAGGATAAGTGTCAAGACGGTTAAAGTTACAGGTAGAGACTTAAAGTCCATTTGTAACTTTACTGGTCCTTGCACATTACCCTTGAAAATTCAATGGGAGGATTTGGCTTTGCAGAAATCTTTCTCCCTGTGAAACAATCTACTACTTTTTCTCCTACCCTTTTATTTATTTTTTTTCTTCTTATTGAGACAAATTCCTCCCTACTGCTGTATTTTCAGGGAAAATTGTAACCTGCTGTTTGTTAATTTTCCATTTTCCTTTTCTTTTCTGCCTACTCCACCAATCAAATGCTACTGCTGCCTCACATCAGGCAAAGGTTCATTATAAGAGCTGACATGTTGAAAAAGATTTGTAAAACTACCTAGGAATGAGACCAATGATATTCTGTAAGAGTGTAAAGGGTTGCCTTGAAAATTGCTCAGAAAGAAAGGAACTAATTAGTAAATGATAATAATTTCCTGTAGTTTTTATTTTAACCAGCTGTGGATTTCAGTAGCATAGGCATGATTGTTGC